AACCAGTCTGGGATTCTGTGACTCTATGAAAAGAGAACACGGAGCAGCTCTCAACACCAGACAGGAGGAGCTGAGGAGCGAGTTCACATCCAACCCAACCTGCACACAACCCTGTCCCATCCCAAGGAGAACATCCTGCTGCAAGGACAGAGTCCATCCACCACCAACCAACCACCACCGTGATGCAATTAATTACCTTCAGGTGCTGTTAACAAGGAAGGAATTTCTTTATTTTTCAGACTTAAAACCATTATTATCAATAAATACTTTGTTTCTCAGCATGCCACACCCCACCACGGCCAGATGGTTTGATCTTTTTAGATGTTTCCACTCTTCTCCCAGAATCTGGGAACAGGAATCATTTAATTTCTAACAATCCAAACAGAACCTCCCCCCCACCAATTGGCAGCAGCACAGGAACAGTCCCACGTGCACTGAGATCTGCTCTGTCCTCGCTCTGCCACAAGCCTGGTGGCACTAGAGATAAGCCAGCCTGTTTTCCAGCTTAAGGAGATATTTTTTTCTAGCTTCCAGGTGCAATAAATTAAGGCATCAAAAAATCCAAGACTCTCCAAAGATCAAGCTGGTGTAGATAGGAAGTGGTTCCAGTTTTTTTTTTTTAAGAGAGATCTTCCTTCTACAACCAACTATTTGCAGGATTTTTAGGGAGGAAGCCCCAATTCCACATGTTTGTACGTTGTCAAAGGGGTTTTTCAGGGTGTGTTACGTGCTGTAAAAACAAACCAAGCTCACAGCTGGGTGAGACAACAGCCCAACCGTTTATGGACTGAGACAAAGTGACACCTTAAGACTTCAGATCAGACTTCTCCTCACACTATTAGCACTGGGCCAGTCTTCAGGGACCAGTAACATTAGTGGGAAGAGACAGGACAAGGCAAGGTCCAGGTTTGGGAGCTCAGAGCTCAGCTGAAAGCCTGAGGGAACAGCTCAGTTATTCCCTGGTCCTGCCAACACGTGATTAGAGTAAAATAATCATCCAACCTCCACCTTCTGTCAGTGCTGCCAGCACAATTCTGCTATCTGAACACGTCCCAAAGGGAAGTGTTGTGTCCTATTTTTAAGACTCTCTGTCATTCTTGTGCAAGTATGACTTCAATTTACCTCCCTTCACAATGATTCTATCTCCTTAATTAGCAAGAGTCAAAAATTCAAGCACAGCCCAATTAATTTGTACACTTAGGGTTTGGTTTGGTTTGGATGGGGTTTTTTTTCTGTACAACGTCAGTAAAATATATATAGGAGTAAGCTACTTTATTAAATAAACTCTGAAAACCATTTGCCCCCCTCTTCCCAGCTTAGCCAGTCTTCCCAGACAGGTTGGAGCTGGACAGACACATGAGGGTACAGACACACAGACGTTCAGCTGAGCCCTCCCACCACACACCAGCCCAGATGAACCCACCAGCTCACTCCTCCTGGCAGGGCACACGGTGACCGAGCCACCCCGATGTCACACCCCACGTGCAAGGGAACGTCAGGATTTCAAGTCTCACCATCTAGGTGACGATGTGAATTGACAAAAAAGAAGAAAAAAATAATAATAATAATAAAAAAAAAGCATTTGATAGCAGTTTGAAGGTTTCCTAAAGCAGGAGGAGTCTTCACCTGCTGAAGGAAAATGCCATGAACCACGTTTGCACAATAATCCAAGTGTGTAAGTGACTTTTGTTCCCATGGTAGATTACAAGATGCACAATCTGCTGTGCTTGTTCGCTTCCGGATGCAGCCTTTCCAGAGCCTGGCTTTAAGCTACACTCTTCATTCAAGCACAAGTCTTCATTAAATAAAATGAACAAAAAACAAAACAAATCAAAACAAAAGAAAATCAGCATTCAAGTCTTCACCACCCCACTCGAACTCGATTATAAAATTAAAAAATAAAAATAAATCAATGCAAACACGTCATTTACAAACAGACAGTAAACAAATATATCCCTGGATGAGACATGCAGCCGTTGAGGACACTGGTTTGGGAAAAAAAAAAAATCAAGGGATATTTGGAAAGGATCTCAGCACACAGAGGCCCGTGAGCTTTGTGAAAGCGCACGCACGACCGACGCCACGCTCGCTAAGGTGCTTCTCTAAGCGGTGGATTTGCTGCCGTGGATGGGAAGGGTGATGGACAGGCTGAGCCTGGCTGTGCTGCCACAAAAGACAAAGCTCAGGCAGCAGAGCTGACCTGAAACAATAAACTCATAGTGGTAGGAAGCAGGGGCTGGTGTAAGTCATGTTCTGCTGCTCATCGGAGCCCAGACCCCACTCCCAGGTGGGAAACCGACATGGACAGAGAGGAACACGGTGGAGATGTGGTCCCAGGTACTCACAGCTCAAGCAGATGAGGCAGAAGCTGCCTTCCCACTTTTACAGGAAATTAAGCTCTGGTTTTCTAAGCCCCTCCTGAAGGAGAATATTACTAGAAGTTTTGTGTGGTGTTGTTTCCTCTTAAAAAAAAAATATATATATATATAAAGAAAAAAAAAAGGTGCAAGTATTTGCCCAAATATGTGAGTGCAGGAAGGCAGGACAGAATATGGGAGAACTGTCACCACCTGCTCCCAAAGTACCAGGCCAGGCCAAGGGCTGATGAGCAGGATTAGGGACAGACAGGAACTCCCTTGACCACCAGGATGCTCCCCTGACCTTGCAGAAATCAGCCATTACGTTGGTTTTGGTGACAGATCAACATGTTTTGCTCAGGTAAAGCCATTTGCACGCTCAACCGCCTTTACCTGAGCAAGAAATGAACTTTGAGGTTTCACTGGGAACATTCAGCTGGTCTAATATACAATAATCATGACCTGAAAAGTGACCCTCTTCATCCAGTTTTCACCCAAAACCCCCCCCAAAAAAACCCCCTTGCATTCATCAAACAGCAGCGGGGGTTGCCCCCAGTACCAGTCCTGCCCTGGCTGCAGCGGATACCGTGCGTACTTTGCCCTGCTGTCTGTCCAGAGGATGGGTTCAGATCCGTGGTGATGGTTGAAGTATGTACAGGGATTTGCAGCAGTTATTTACAGTACTTCTGCAGACCTCAAGCCGATTTTCTCCTCTTCCACTCCTAGTCAATCTGGAGTGGGTTTCTTTAGTGAGAAAGGTCGTATATTGAAGTGTCGGCTCAGCTGGCTCACCTGGGGACAAGGTAAATGACAGGGCAGGGTTAGTGAGGCTCAAAGGGACAAGGAGGAAAGTGAGTAGAGCACCAGACTGGTTCTTTCTACAGTCAACAAAGCCCTGCCACCTTCCTGCACCTGCTTTCCCCACTATCACCCACCCTACACGCTCCCCATGGATGCAGCAGATCTGGGCCACAGCCTCTGCCCTGTGAGCCAGGCTGCCCTGCCCCAGAGCTGAGCCCTGTCCCTGCCAGCCTCACCCTGCAAGGTGCAGCTTTGCTCCCTTCCCAGGTAACAGCCTGGTCTATCCAGGAGCAGGTTCAGCTCCATTCCTGCCCTTCTCAGGGGCAGGAGTCAGAAATGCCTGTCCTGAGCCCAAGCATGTAGGATTTCCCCAAAATAAGAAAGATGTGGAGCTGTTGGAGCGGGGCCAGAGGAGGCCAGGAAGATGATCCGAGGGCTGGAGCCCCTCTCTGCTGGAGAAAGGCTGAGGGAGCTGGGCTTGTTGAGCTTGGAGAAGAGAAGGCTCCAGGGAGAGCTCATTGTGGCCTTCCAGTGCCTGAAGGGAGCTTAGAAACAGGAGGGAGAGGGACATTTGCCATGGGCAGAGAGTGATGGGATAAGGGGAAATGGTTTTAAACTGAGAGAGGGGAGATTTAGGTTGGGTATGAGGAGGAACTTTTTCACCCAGAGGGTGGTGAGCCAGTGTCCCAGGTTGTCCAGAGAAGCTGTGGCTGCTCCTCCCTGTCTTCATCTTCAACAGTCCTGAAAGTGCTGCTGGCAGCTCGGGGTGCTGTTTGCTGCTGCCACAGGTCTGGTTTCTGAGCAGTGGCCTTTGCATTACAGGATATTGAAGATATTATCATTCAATGTCCCAGTCACAAGAGCCTTAAAAAGCTCTTCAGCTCAGTAAAGGTTCTTTTATCCCAGAAGAGACGAGTGCACAGATGGGCCCTTGGAAAGCAGGAGGTGGGCAGGGGGAAAACAAGGGGAACACCAGCTCGGGGGAGCACTGAGAAGCTCATGGCAGGGGATGGTCAAGCCCTGGGCAGACAGGAGGGATTACACCATCCCGTCAGACTCCATCTCCAGCTCTGATTCCAAGACCAAATTTATTTAAGCTTCTTAGCTATTCAAATCCTTCTTGTATAGAAGCCTCATTACACTAATTGGAAAGACAAGATAACCTGGTTATTACTTCTTTGTTGTAATTACAGTTCAAGCTCAACTCGGGAGGCTGTGCATTAGAGCTGGGGTTCCCAGGGGACAGGGCTTCCCAAGGAAGGAGTACACATGTGGCAGCAGCCAGCTCCCCAGGGGACATCAGGTCCCTTGTCTTGTTCCTCAGCATCTTCTTGGGGCATTTCTAACAGGACTTGATCTCCTCTGAGTTTGTTTTCTCTCTTAATCAAGACTCAGGGAGTCAGGCAGAGCTGACACAGAGCACGGGGAGCAAATCAGTCCCTGGATTTCTAAAGAACTCTTAGAATCATGGAATGGTTTGGGTTGGAAAGGACCTTAAAGATCATCCAGGTCCAACCTACCTGCCATCAGCAGGGACACCTTCCACTAGACCAGGTTGCTAGACCAGGTTCTTCTTGCAGCAGAAGAGAAGGCACTGCAGCAGCAGTGTCACCACATTCCCTAGCAGGGACATTTCTCCTCCATCCTGGCTCTCTCCAGAGCAGGGCACGTCAGTGAGGTCACAGATCAAACTCAGCAACCAAGGTAACACTGACAGCAGTTTCACTTTTGATACTAAGACTCCCAAATTAAGCACTCCTGCCCGATGTGCAGAGTATCTGCTGCTCTGGGGATCTGCTGGAGCTGCCCTTCCCACTGCCCAAGGGTGTGGGTTACATCAAGCTGATCACTAAGCTGTGAGTGCAGCCAGGATGAGTTAAACACAGAATCCCAGAATGGCCTGGACTGGAAAAGCCCTTGAAGCTCATGGAGTCCAACCATGAACCCAACACTGACCAGTCCCCTATGACTAACCCATGTCCCTCAGCACTGTGTCTACACGACTCTTCAATCCCTCCAGGGATGGGGACTCCACCACTGCCCTCCACATGGCAGCAGAGATGTGAAAATTTGTTTCAATCTAATCTCTGGTACAACAGCCCCCATCACATTGTGTGAAGCTGCTTCAAACCCCAGTGACAGCCCACACGAGCCTCTCACCAGGAAGTCACCTCGAGTTTTGGACAGCAGGACAAGAGCTTGGTGCTCCCAGTTATTACACAGAATCCCAGACTGGTGGGGTTGCAAGGGACCTCA